TTTTTTACCCATCCAACTGTGTAGGCATCAATGCCACAGTCGCTTAATTTATTGATGAGGATGGGGTGAGAGACAGTGTCAAAGGCCTTCTTAAAGTCCAGAAAGACTACGTCCATGGCGACACCATCATCCAAGGATTTAATTAGTTGGTCATAAAAGGCAATCAGTTTGGTCAGGCAGGACCTGCTTTTAATGAACCCATGCTGATTGCCCTGAGCATGATCTCCCCTGCAGGCTCCCCACAGATGTGCTCCTTGATGATTATCTCCAAGATCTTCCCGAGAACTGAGGTGAAGCTTACGGGACTATAGTTATTTGGGTCCTCCTTCCTCCCTTTCTTGAAAATTGGGATCACATTAGCCAGTTTCCAATCCCCCAGCACCTGGCCAGATGACCACGAATGCTCATACAGCCAGGCCAAGGGCTCTGCGATGACCCCTGCAGGTCCCTCAACACCCTTGGGTGGAAGGCATCTGGACCTGCAGATTTAAAAATGTCTAGCCCTTCCAGAAGATCCCTAACTACCTCTGTGCTGACTGAAGGCCTGACAGAACTATCCCCAAGATTGTCCCTACCTCTGGTAGGTGGGATGTCCCAGTCCCTGTTCAAGAAAACACAGGCAAAGAAACACACATTTCTTGTTCTACAGTCTCTCCAGAACAGCTCCCATCTTCTCCACCTACTGCCCCTATTCTCTCTGGGCTACTATCTTTTATATCACCGGCTTCTCATTGGCAGCTTGGTCATAGCTGGAAGGAGGCACTTAGACCCTACATTAACTCTTTTGGGGCTACTGCTGTGTAGGTCTTTCAGCTTATGTATTTCATTATAAGCTGAAACATCTTTAAAGGAGTCTGCAGTTACCTTCCTATGTGAAATTATTAGAATTAGATTATTAGCACTTTGGTGCTATGTGATCCATTCTGAGGGCAAAACTTACTCCTCAAAGATGTTTACAATGAGCCCTAAGTCAAGGTCAGGACTGACTTTTTTCACTCTTTAGAGACTCCCCTAGAGCCAGGGAATATATCTCAAACCTTCCTGTAACTTGGTGGTCAAAAGGGTCTCCCAGCTGCTTCAGAGAACCCTCTACACTACATCACTGTTTCAATCCTTCCTTCAGTTTATGGGCTTTCTTCAGTTTGAGTGGCTCATGTTATAGGATCCAAACTTGAACAGCACAGTCTTTCTAACTGCCCTATTACAACTGTCACATTCAGTGGGTTTATAAGGGACAATTCTGCCAATACACTAGTGAAATTCATGTCTGGGCCCTGGGATGTTATCCCTGCTTCATGCCTCATGCTTATGTCTACCTCAGTAAGTATCGCTATCCCCTACCCTGGCCCTTCCTGCATTCCTCATTCCTAGCAGCTGGCCTCCATTTTATATTTTTGTTTTCTATGATTCCAACTCCTTAACCACAAGTGAATTGCTTGGGATTTATTCATACTGACTCTTTTTAAATTGGGGTCTGTTGGATTTCCAGGCTCTCTGAATTGTTCTAGTTTGATATTATCGTCTTTCATTTTGTACCATCCTAATTTTCCTCCTTCCCAATTTTGTATCATCAGCAAAATAGTTCTAAACCCCCAGCAAAATACAACCAGCCAGTTAACTAAGATATTTGATAGTACTGATTCCAATGAAGAACCTTGTGGGATTTTCCTTGATGCTTTTGTAACAGTTTGGAGATGTACCAATTTCAAACTACTGAATTTCATTTTGATTTTTGGATCCTATTTGTTACTGTACCCTTCATTTTGGACTAGAGTATCCATTTTCTTGCAGAGGCTTGACCCCTGCTTGACAGACTATATGTAGTTTGGTGTGAGAGAGCTGTCAGTTCTGAGTGATACTTTCTTAGAATAATGGGCTTGCTGTAAAGACCATTGCCAGTAGAGTACATTGTCTTTTAACAAAAACTCTTTGAACTTTTTACAGAGAAACCAGTCTAATTTAAATTTAATTGAAACCCAGGAGAATGGGTTCAAAGTTGCTCCTCTAATCAGGTGGCTGACATGGCTTCAATTTCTCCACCCAATCATTTTCTAAAGGGTATAACCAATGCTACAAGTAAGAGGCTGAGGAGGCAGCAAGGATTGCCAAGGGTTCAAAACATACCCATTGCTCCCAAGGGTCTGGTAACATCAGACCAGGCTTGTCTGCATTCAGCTGTTTTTTTCCATGGATTTATAACTCCATCATGATTTCACAATGTCTAAATATATGTCTACAAAATTCCTTTGCCAGACCAGAATCTATTGCTTTGTTACCATGTGGTCTTGCAAGCATGGAACTGAAAAACTGCAGCTTCCATACACAGGTGGACTCAAGGAATGAATACCCAGCTCCAAGTGTTCACCTATGAAAGTATGAGAGATTCCCTCTCCTTACATAACCCAATGGGACTGACAGCAGAGGTACAATGGAACTAAGCAACTAGGGGCTTGCAAAGGTTATGGCATTAGTTCTAGGATCAAGGCAGCTAGGCTGAAGCATCCTACTGCCCAAGAAGTGTTTCAGACATGGGATCTGATTCTGGGAGCATCCTTGAGAGAGACTGAGCTAGGGACAGTGACCAGGGAAAGTCTTAGAAGTATGTGGCATCTAGCACCTGGATCTATTCACAACAGATAAAATTGTCCCAAGTTGGGACAACTTCATCCCAGTTTGATGTGAAATTCATGAACAGTTTCTATTTTCCATCTGTTAGTCCTTTTTATACTGCCACTCCTACAACTTCCATGTTTTCAGTTAGTGACTACGGAGGTCCACAGGTCAGAGACTATCCTCTCTTGAATGTCTGGAAAGCATTTAGCACATCATGGTGTCATCAGACATAAATGATAATAGCAACTTATACAAGAGCTTTTCAAAGACTGCATTTTAAAAACCAGGAGCAAGGGAATTTGCTTGAGTAAGGGCTTCAAGGTTTATTCCACAATATAATATGTGTATTCACTGTGCTTCCCATCCCTATAGATCATTTATTTTTAAAGAATAGCTTTCCCTGGTATGATCTTGTTTTACAAAGCCATCACAGTGTTACTGCCCATCAGCCTGTGGCTGTCCAAACATTTACAGATTTTTTTTCACTTTCTGCCAATTTGAGTAAAAGTTCTTCATCTTGAAAATTCCCCCTGTGGCTTCAAACAGAAAGCTTACTCTTACTTTGTCCTCTGAAATTCTGTAGTATTGTTGATTCAGAATGGATTCTATATACCACCTCACAGCACTGTGGTGGGTATGTAATCTCATCTCAAGGAAGAATTGTAACAACTGCTTTATTTTTGTTATTGTTCAAATTCTAATACAAATCACAAAGTGCTAGCATAATAATTGGTATGAAACCCTTTCTTCAAAGTGCACAGACTGGAGAACAAAAGGTTTGTTTTTTTTTAAACATTGCAGATCTTTTCCAATTTTTGTCTGAAGTGGAGTTAATGTCTATTAATAGTGCCTGATACCTAGCACCTAGAAGGTTCAGCAAGAGCAATGACAGTGCAGCCCTCTTCTCATCGTCTAACTGACAAACCTTAGCTCAAATCTGGGAGCAACTGATGGGGCAAAAGGTTCTGTTACTCTGTATGGTCACTGATTCTTTGGCACCTTGACTGAAACTGGTAACAAGGGTGCTACAAGTGCTAATGATTACTATAGTATAAGCTTCCATCTCCAGGTAGGGAACCGATATTCCCACACTCATGTGGGCCATCAAACAGCTCAGACTAGATCGTCATGACACTTGTTATATTATTTCTGACCTGGGTTGAATCACAACTGGTAACACAGAATTTGAAGCCATTTGTAATTGCAGTTTTGCTTATAATGAAGTTGTTTATTGATTCCAGAAAATCATGGAGAGAGTGCTTTGGCATATTTTTGATATAAGATATTCAGCTGTCTTATTTCTGTGGATACCATAATATGTCACAAAACACTGAATAAGCAAATGTCTTTCACGGAAAGATTATCATTATTGTGTCTGTTATATAGCACATAGAAGCCATCATTGACACCAGGGCCTAGTTGTACAGGAGACCCTCACCATTCGCATTTTTGAGATCCCCGCAAATGGCAAAATCCACAAATAAGGCGCTGCGTTCATGAACGCCATCTGTGTTCATGAACACAGTACGCCCAGCGGCTGGGGGCAGGAGGGAGGGGGCATGGCTGTGGCAAGTGTGGGAGCCTGGCGGCGGCAAGTGCGGAGCTCCCAAGGAACTCCTGTAAGTGTATTTAAGATGCAGGTTCAGCATTCGCGACTATTTGAAACCGTGAATGCCAAACCTGTGAATAGCAAGGCTTTCCTGTACTTGGTGCAGCAGGCATATGCACAGAGTAAGAGACAGTTCCTGCCCTGAGGAGCACATAGTCCAATACAAAACAGACAAGGCACACAGTTGTCAAGATAAATCATTAGGGGGAGAAAATGAACTTCCATTTTACAGATCAAACAGAGATATCCAATAAAGGACTTACATGCCTAAAGCAGAATCTAGGAAGAATTTAGCTGCCTAAATCCAAAACTGCTATGCTGAAAACCCTCTGCTCAGCTACCACCTGACTCTGGAAACATCTGAACTCCATAGATGCCAACATTCCTTTACTTTAAAGTTCTCTGCATGCCTGGAAGACCATCCAGTCTTCAAAGTAAAGAACAGCTTAGTACCTGGCTCCTGACAAAGCCCCCAAATAATTCAGAAAACAGGCATAAGTCTCCTCAGGGACTTGATTCATTAGGGAGTCTCACAGTACATCTAACACTCATTGATAGGACTGGGCTTCTCACAGAATATAGTTGCAGCCACCACTTTCTCTTAAAATACTGGCAGAGATGGGTGGCGGTGCCACCCTCCCTTTTTTAGGTAACATCTTAGCAACTAAAACTCTTGCCAAGAAAAAAAATTGAGACCAGGCCCTTCTCAGCCTAAGGAAACTCAAATCCACAGCTCCCAACTCCCTTGAGAAAACCCTAACTATCAGCCTATATACTGTTCTGGGTGCAGCCACTCTCCACATCTCATGAACTTGAGCCAATGTGCAGAAAATAATTCAAGATTCATTGAGCCTGAGAGAGAATATCTAAAATATCACCCATGTTCTGACAGTGCTGAGAAGTTGCCTAGTTTATGCCTTAGTCTTATTCTGGGCAATCTCAAACTAGACATCCCTTCACATGTTTGCAGGGTTCAGATGCAGAACATACCCTGTCTTGCACAAAGTTCTGGTGGAGATGAAGCCACTGCCACCCTTTTATCCAGAATGTCAGTGGTAAGAGTGAAGACCAGATTCAGAATGTGGGAGAGGATTCCACATCTACCACACATGAATGGTGTAAGCTCCTTATGACAAGGTATTTTGGAGCAGGGCCTTCTCAGCTTCTCCTGTTGAAAGTGTTTTGACTCCATAGCTTAATGGAGGGGAGATAGATGGATTCCAGTCCTTGTTCCAATAATTAATTTGGTTTCATAGTTTAAGAAATAATTGGAGAACAGACTGGAACCCCTGTCTCAGAGCTTCTAACTGAATACCCTAGCCAAAAGCCTATTGAGTCACATTTTCTCATTTCACCACTCTCTCTGACCTGTTGAATATTTAGATAGATAGATAGATAGACTAAGGGTTGGAAGGGACCTAGTAGATCTTCTAGCCCG